ACCGAACACAACCGAGTAATTGACTAGTTGCCATGAATATCTTGCATGGATATTCCGCCGATCACTCGCAGCGATCGACAAAACAACCACTCGACGTCCAAGTAACAGTAAAAAATAATAGCATCGGAAATCATCCGTCTTCATGAAATTCCAACTGCGTTCATTGATTTGGCTGCACAGATGTTTTGAGCTATTCTCCCCTATTGCCCAGTGATTTCTAAGAAGAAGGATAAACGAGTACCCGGTCAATCTATCTGAAGACATTTATCCTAACGACAGTTTGCCTAAAGACAAATTGCCTAACAGACAGTTTGCCTGACGGAATATTCATTAAAAAACGGTAAGTTAGGCAAACTGTCCGTTCGGCAAAATGTCCGTTAGGCAGTCCGTTAGGCAAACTGTCCGTTCGGCAAAATGTCCGTTAGGCAAACTGTCCGTTCGGCAAACTGTCCGTTAGGCAATGTGTCATTAGACAAACTGTCGTTAGACTAAATGTGTTCAGACGGATTGACCGGTCACGGTATATACAACATGAAATTCCGATTGTACAAATCCAGTGCGTTTGTCATTTCAAGCATTTAATCAACTGCAGATCAGCAGTGTGACAGTAATAGCAAATAACTGTTCATTGATAAATGATCACAAAATGTTTCATTCATACATTTACTCGGATATTTAATGCATATATCACAAATAAGCAAGCTTCTTCAATATCACTCCAGTTATCACACTTACCACGACTAACCTGTGCTTCTTTGTTGGTCGTCGGAAACGTGAGACGGAAGTATTGTGGTCGGCTGAATACAGAACAAATTCAATCATCAATTCAATGAGATCACTTATGATTTCATCTAAAAAATTATGCATTCTGATANCATTTACTCGGATATTTAATGCATATATCACAAATAAGCAAGCTTCTTCAATATCACTCCAGTTATCACACTTACCACGACTAACCTGTCTTTCGTGCTTCTTTATTGGTCGTCGGAAACGTGAGACGGAAGTATTGTGGTCGGCTGAATACAGAACAAATTCAATCGTCAATTCAATGAGATCAGTTATGATTTCATCTAAAAAAATTATACATTCTGATAAATAAACAAATTTTGAATGTTTGATAATGAAGAAATTTTGAATTTTTGTTCAGAAAAAAATTTGAATTCGGAATTTTCGAATGAAAATTATTTTTTGCATTCTGATAGTATATATCAGCCAACAGTAACGTCAATATGTAAAATTTGCAATGCAAATTCTGCCAGAAGAGCAAAAGAATTTGCTTAAAAGAAGAGTATAAATAACCTCGAAAAGGTGCTTATCGCCATTACGCTTTTAGCGAAGCAGTCGAAGGGGTCGTACTGTGCTCAATTCGTTCAGCAGCTTTCATCGGTTAGATATGGCGTTCAACAATCAGGGCTTTGGTACTGCCGGACAGAATTTCGCAAGTGGATTCACACAACAACAAGGATTCGGAGGTCAGGCGGGTAATTCCACCAGTCAAACTGGGTTTGGCTTTGGACAACAGGCTGGATTCGGAAACCAGAATGGATTCGGTTTTGGGCAAGCTGGTTTTGGACAGGGTGGTTTTGGGCAAGGTAGCTTTGGTAACCAGACCGGCTTCGGACAAAGTGGTTTCGGTCAAACCGGTTTTGGACAGAGTGGCTTCGGCGCCCAATCGGCTGCTTTCAATCAAGGTTTTGGTGGGCAGTTCGGACAGGCTGGCTTCGGACAGGCTGGCTTCGGACAG